ACACACACGTCCAGCGTGAGTTTTAAGCCACCGGGTTTGGGACGCAAACCGCAGTCGACTATGTGGGAGTCCAGCCACATAGCCATTACACTAACTGCTGGTTCCCTGTATTTCCTTTTTTTTTGATCTTGCAAGAATTTCCCAACCTCCTAGAATTCGTTGGCTCCTTTCTTCGGACTCTTCTGCAGTTTATTGTCTCTCTTCTCTTCCATGTCTGTTAGTTTCATCATTATGAATATTCAAAAGTCTTTATCAGACATTTTCATGAGTTTCATTATGCTGTCTGAGGATGAAGAAGAGTTATAGTCTTCCCTTAGAGGAAAGGTATTTTCTTGCTTTCCCATATTTCTTGTGACCCTGTGGTGATTTCTAGTCATATGATGAATGGTGTTTCCTAATTCTTGAAGTTCATTCTGAGTGTTCAGAGGTGTGCAGAAGGAGGTGATCTGCAATCTCGCTTCCATTTTTTTTCACTCTTTGTGCATCAGATTCAATGGGAATAGAGAAATATTCTGACCCTGGGGGCTCTGGCAGGTGGCATGGTGGTTAAAGGTGCTAGATTCCCACATGGCTGACCATAGTTTGAGTCCCGGACCTGGCAGCTTGCTTTCTCACTTTTTTTCTCTGTGTCCCTCTCTCACCAAATTGAAATAAACACATAAATAAATAATGTTAAATACAATAATTCTTTTTTAAAAAGAGGAATATTCTGGGGTCAGCAGTTAGCGTAATGGCTATGTCGCTGTACTCCCATGTAGCTAAAAAAAAAAAAAGAGGAATATTCTAACACTTATTATATTCAGATGTTTGGATCCTGTTCACTTGTACCAGTCTAGACACTTAGTGCATAGATGTTGAGCAGCCAATGAATAAAGATAAGGAAAAGAATGAGAGAAGATGGAAGAAGAAATAATAAAATAAAAAAGAGGAAAGAAAAAAATCATAAGAATATTATATTTTGATTTTAAAAAGCAAAACATGAAAACTGTGTGATGTATATACATTATTTCACAGCTCAAGTTCAGTATCCATCTCAGGATGGGCTTTGCTTCGGTTTGTGCCGTTCCTAAATGAAATGGGAAAGGCACCAATTAGCACAATAAAGGAGGGGCTTGAGAGCCCAGAGAATACTGTACCTTAAAAAACAAACAAACAAAAACTTAAAAGTCACAGGGAGACACAGCAAGACAGAGAGAAATGGAGAGGAGACAGAGGTAGCCCTACCCACTAGAAATGAATCTGGAGGAGGATTTCTCACCAGAAAATCTTCATTTTTTGGTCAAGGAAAGCAATATTTCATAGCTCAAGTTCAGTATCCATCTCAGGATGAGGCTGGCCTGGGTCTGTGCCTTTCCCGCTAGAAATGAATCTGGAGAGGGAAGTCTCAGCAGAAAGTTTTCATTTTTGGTCAAGGAAAGCAATATTTCACAGCTCAAGTTCAGTATTCATCTCAGGATGGGCCTGGTCTGGTTGTCTAAAATAATTTTTAAAAAAATTTTTAAAAAGAGCTTTTTGTTATAGGGTGCCTGTGCTCACTAGAAAGACAGAGACAGAAAGAAAGAAAGTGAGAAACCACCCCCGGGGGATGACTAAACCACAATCCCTTTCTCCTCCATTCTTCTCTCAGGATCTTGGGCACACACACACATGCGCCTGGCCTGAGTTTAAACCACCAGGTCTGGAACTCAAACTGTGGTCATCTATATGGGAGTCCAGTGACATAGCCATATTGCCAACTGCTGGTCCCATAAAATTCTTTAAAAACAACAAAAACACAGAATAGATTAGCAGTTGCCAGAATTAAGGAGGAGGAGTTGTGCGGGAAGAGAGGAAGATGGGTGTGACTATAAAGAAATAGAACAGGGGGACCATAGCATGATGACTATGTCACTGGACTCCCATGTAGTTGACTGTGGTTCGAGTCCCAGACCCGATGGCTTAAAACTCATGCCACGTGCGTGTGCGTGCGTGCCCAAGATCCCGAGAGGAGAGTGGAGGAGAAGGGATTGCAGCATGGCCCACCCCCCGGGGGGTGATTTCTTGCTTTCTGTCTCTATGTCTCTCTGTCTGTCTGGCAAGCATGCGTGCCCTATAGCAAAAAAAAAAAAGAAAGAAAGAAAGAAAGAGAGAGAGAGAGAGAGAAGGAAGGAAGGAAG